ATGTTCATCGATTGATTCATTCGTTCGTTCATTTGTTCGTCGTCCATTCGTTTGTATGTATGTTTGTATGTATGTATGTTGGTATGTATGTTTGTTTGTATGTATGTATGTTTGTTTGTATGTGTGTATGATTGTATGCATGTACGTTTGTATGTATGTATGTATATTTGTATGTATGTTTGTATGAATGCAAACGGAAGGAAGATATAAACAATATTAATCCGCTAAGTGGGTTACGTTTCGTTGTTATCTACTAGTCAACAATTCCAATGCTAAACCGTACCTATATAGCTTTCTATTGTAAAATGCACCTCTCTCTCTCTCTCTCTCTCTCTCTCTCTCTCTCTCTCTCTCTCTCTCTCTCTCTCTCTCTATGCTTGTATGCTTATGTATGTATGTAGTGCATGTGAGTTGATATAATTTTGCAGTTTATTGGTATTATGGTAATTACAATTTTCTGCCTCTATGTCTAGAGAAAAATGCATTCAAACAAATTAATACACTATTCAAACCAGCTACAAAGATCATTGGCTGATATATTTATAGAATTCAGGTTTAGGTTACGGTATTGTTTATAAATACAAGGCAAGGCATCATCACTCATCACTCAACATCACATCTACTCTATTTGAGCTTCTACATCCAGCCTTGTGATGAATTAGGTTGTAGTGAACTTTTTTGTTCTTACATTTTTTTGGCACGCGTGTGTTCTTATTTTTATTATTTTGTATGAAAATCTTTCCATGTCTATTCAAAAACTATATGAATATGTCTATGGGGAAAGAGAGAAAAAGTGTGTGTGTGTGTGTGTGTGTGTGAGAGAGAGAGAGAGAGAGAAAGAAAGAGGGAGAGATATAAGAGAAAGGAAGAACTAAAAAAAAAACTAAAGATGAAAAGACAAATTGTTTATTTTTTACACTTGAATACGCTCCTGGAGGCAAGAAAAAATATTAAAACGGAAATAATTGGAACTGATTGCATAAAATTGAGTAAGAGAGAGAAAGAGAAAAAGAGAGAGAGAGAGAGAAAGAGAGAATGACTCAAATGCAGACACACATGCACAAAAAACTGTAAAAAGAAGAATAAACTATATAATGATGAAATGAATTCTCATTATTCACTGAAATACTTAGTAAGAGTTTGGCAACGTCAACAGAGTGATTTGTTTTGTTTGAGAGGAGTAGTTACACGATGATGAAATGGTAGATCTTGAAAGAATTTGCTAACTTGCCTCTGTGTTTGCTTGTACTACTACTGCTATTACTACTACTATTACTACTACTACTACTATTACTACTACTACAACAACTACTACTACAACTACTACTACTACTTCTGCTACTACTTTTGCTACTTCTACATCAATTACTACTACTTCTATTGGCAATAAATAACAAACAATAATAATAATAATTATAAAAGTAACAATAATAACAACAATAAAGAAAACAAAAACAAAGTGATGTTGATAATTGTTTATGTAGGCGGTTGATTTGTTGCATGCAAACTGCGGTGATGTCACAGCATACAAGATACAGCAACAGCAACCGCAGCAACAACCAACAACAATAACAACAACAGCAGCAGCAACAACAACAACAACTACAAACAACTACAACAACAGCATCGTAGTCCAATGTTTGCTTACCTTCCGATCTATTATTTATGACCGCTTTACTGAACACTCATTTTTTCCCCCCTCGCCCTACTACTCGAATTACGCGCTATATAAATTAAATTATCCAAACTGAACACATGAACATCATCAAACGTACCGGTACTGCGTAGACGTAAGCGTACACACAACATGCACGTTGTTGTTCACTTGCGTGTGTTCGTATCTTGGTGCAATTATTTTTCCGTCTAAAAATGTAAACCATATTTTTTAAAAACCTAGTCACGCAATAACCTGCTTCAAATACAAAATAAATCCTTATTGCTATGCATTTATAAGCCTGAAGACTTGCTGTAAGCGAAGCATTAAATATTTGTGAATTGTACCGCATCACATGGATTGATCAGTTACAATAGGCCATGCAAATAAATATTGCAGTTTGCATGGAATATTATTCTTCCTGTAGCTGAAAATAAATAATTACACATCATAAAACAGATCCCTGTGTGTTTGTGTGTGCGTGCGTGTGGTGTGTGAATGTTTCCCCCTCTTTTCCACTCTTTGTGTGTGTGTGTGTGTGTGTGTGCGTGCGCGTATGTCTAGAACTGTACATAGAGGAAAAAAAATAAAAAGTTCATAACAAGAAATAATGAATGAATTTGTCATGAAGGAACATGACGTTTGAACACGCAATCTTCTCTTTCCTCTTATGAAGTTATGTGCTGCTTGCTTCGCATGGTGCTTTCTTTGCAAAGAAATCTACTGACCATGTAAGTTGAACTTGTCCTAAACAATTTATCGTTTTTATTATTTTTTAATTTCCATATGAAAATTTTTCAGCAATTTTTCTTCTTGGTTTTTATACTTTGGTAAACTTTTTGTTAAAAGATTTGCTTTTTTTCTGATTGCACAGCGTAACCTTGTCTTAATTTTCCGAAAAAAAACATAAGAAAATTTAATTGAATAATAACAATGTTTGGCTTTTTTTTATTTTAAACGAAACAAAAACTTAAACTAAAGTAACTGAAATATAGTATTTCGTTTAACAAAGAACAGAAAAAAACAGTTAAATAAAAATTTGATCGCAATTATGCAACAATTGTGACCAAGCCTATCATATCAACCTATAATCATGTGCACAATTAACTAAGGATCAAAATTATTTATACACACACACACACCACACACACACACACCAACACACGCACACACGTAGACTTAAACAATCAGACACTAACAAATTAAATTTAAAATTAAAAAAATTTATATTAAAAAATCAGAAAAAATTATCCACAGATAAATAAAAAAAACTTGAAATAGAAAAAAAAATGACAAAACAAAATTATATTTTAAACAAAAACAAGCCAAAAAAACTTTATGATGAAAGTTTTTAAGATTTAAAAAAAAATTTTAAATACTTTTTGAAAAATTTTTCCCAACGAAAACAAAACTAAACACAACCAGACACATCTTTTCATACGGATGATGATCAACAAATGGAAATAAGGCAATCATATTTGTATTATGTACATTAAAACAAAAACATTATGCTCTTTGAAACCGCCATATAGATTGATAACATTTCTACATATGAGCTGCCTTCGAATCAAAGTGTACAATGTAAAAAGTATGATGTAGAAAGTATACAATATGAACAACCCTTATAACTTAAAAATAAAATTTGCTAGATGAAAGTAAGATAAAACATGATAAAACTATGTATAAACTACAGCGTATAATGTTTCCTGTAAAAAGTATAAAGTGTGAAGTGTAATGTATGAAGTGCTGTGTAAATAGTACAATATTAAGGAGTACAATTCAAAGTATAGTAAACACACACACACACGTACACATACACGTACAGATACACACACTTATACATACAAAACACATGAATAAGGTAATTAACTAGTTACTAATTTATGCATTGAAATTATAGAGCCAGTCATCAAATGGCTAGCGATAAATAAATCTTACTATAAATTAGTAGTACATTACATTCACACATGTGAGCTAATTCGCATATTTATTGATATAGAGGTGAAGATATTTCTTGATGTGAGGGATCAATTTTTAAGAGTTAACATGTTGAAACTACTTGATTCGTTGCTTAACATTAACTATAAATAACATTTTGAACACTAATCATGATGTCTAAACACAAATTGCAACGTTTAACTAGAGGAATTGTAATATGGTGAAACTTGTTAAAAAAAATTTTGAGGCATAAACGTACATTACGCGTATGAACTACATCAAAGCATGAATGATGTTGATATCGATGTGATGAAAGAGTCTATAATACTTTCTTGACATGTTTATCGTAACCAAGATAACGTGCTAAACTAGTTTTTATTTCATTACAAATACACTACTCGCTAAATTGCTTTAACAAAAATGATATCGGGAAGATCAAAGATCATTTCATCAAAATTAATTAAAGCAAATAATAAAAATACGCACAGTTTTGAAAATTAAAAATAAAACGCTCGTATTATGAAAAAATTAAATATTAATAATTAAGAAGAAATAGGAAAAGAGAATTTGAGAAAGAAAGAGAGAGAGAAAGAAAGAGAAGGTGAGAGAGAAAGAGAGAGAGAGAACAAAATTATTCTTCACTTTTTACACCATGAGGAAAAATCTACTAAAAAATTCCTCTTTCATAAATGTACCTAAATATATTTATATACACACATGTACACTTAGAAATAAAGGAACAAGCATGCAAATAACATTAGAAACAATGGTGAAAGGTAATTAATATCAGGATAACGTATCGTATGTAAACAATAAATATCGAAAATATTGGAAACAAATTGCTTATCAAACAATAAAATGCATCAAAATTATAAACAAAGATAATGGTTAAGTGTGAAAAAAAACATTTTTTGATAAAAAAAATATATTTATACAAGAAAAACATGTTAAAAATTAAAATTATTAAAACGAACATGGAAAAAACAGTCCAACTAACATTACAAGATGATGAAGAAAGCTATTTATCCAATGTTTTATCGACTTCCAATGTAATTTATTCAATTATTTTATTAATTTAATTTATTATTGTTAATCAATTTAGTTGATCTATGTGGTCTTTCTCGATAGCAATAGCTATACAAACACGGGACCAATGACCAAAACCCATGCTAATGTGACTTGATCATTACGTTTATTATTATTTTTCAATGTAATTTATTATTATTTTATTAGATAATAATATTAATTAGAAAATTTTGATAAACCACAACGTCATAAATATGTAATGATCAATATTTTTAACGGACTAATAGTTAATTGACAATTAAGGCTAATACTGCATTATAATGTATTATGCGCTATAGGTATTCGGGTATATTTGTATGTATTCATTCAGATTGTGTCGTCATTAAATTTGCCTACAGTTTGCAGCAGCAGCAGCACTGTTTTGTTGGCGATTATGACTCGATAGTAATGTTGTTGAGGTTGTCGTTGTTTGGGTTGTTAGGGACGGGATAGCTGTTTTTGTGGGCGACGAGGCTGTTGTTGTAGTTGTTAGTGTTGATGTGTTCATTTTCGCCGTCTCTTTCAATGTAAAAGGTGCCGTAGAGTTGTTCTCACTTGCGGATTTGTTGTTTGAGTTGATTTCCGTGGCAGTTGTTTTGATTGTGTTAGAGGAAATGTTATTTTTATTCGAAGGTGTGGCTTGAGTGTTGGTCGAACTAACAGCGTTGCTACTGAGGTTAACTGCTACTGCAGGAAGAGTGACCGGTGGATTAGAATGAACTTTCGGACTTTTTGACCTCGGGGTCAAGTGAGGTTCGAAGGTTCCGTGCAAGATTTTGTTGAACCTTTCTTTGCATTTTACATCGTTGACTCGAGGTACTTGCAGTTTAGATGGTTTGAGTTGCTGGTCGGTAGGATTGCATAAAAGATCTTTACTGAGACTTCCAACTTTCGCAGAGGAACTCTTCAATATATTATTTTTGACCACCGCAGGAAAGTTTGAGGCTTGTTTAATTTTAGATTTATCTGAATTATTGGCCACGCTATCATTTTCTAAACTCGAAATATTATTATTATTACTTATATTATTGTTGCCTGGAGTAATGCAATTGCTGTTAAAATTTCCATGACTAACAAATTTTTCTCCAAACCTGAATCTACTTTCACAGGTTGAAAAATCCCTCCTGAGCGAGAAAAGAACGCCATCATTCTCGCTGTCCAGAGCGCTGAACATGGAGCTGTTGCTGCTGGTCGGACTCGATGATAAGCTGCCATTGTGTTCACATATCCCGCTGCTGTTGCTGGATGATCCTTTTGAGTAGAAACTGTTAATGACTGCTGTCTTGCTTTTGGGAAATGAATCAAAATTGTTGGAGGGTGATGAAGAAGTGGGCAAGGTTCTCGTTGGCGCGGCGATTGTTTGACAGTGTCTTGGAGAAAGATTACTGATACCATTGCTTCTATTGTTGTTAGCCATGCCGCTAGTATTGCCGGTAGAGGCATTAACCGTGGATTGCGATTCTCTAACAAATCCAAAATTTGTTTTTATAGGTTTAGACAAAGGCTTAACAGTTCTTGTGGGAGAAAGTAATGTTGGTTGATGAGATTTTATTTCAACTGCGACCAAATCTGTGAAAGGTTGAATTCTCGGCGAAAGTGGAGCAGGTTCATTGGTTGAAAAAATTTTTCTCTGGCCAATTTTACCCGGTTGATTAGAATATTTCAGTGCAGATGCGTGCTTCATCCCTGGTGAAGTCGTAGGCAGACATGATTTCTTGCCATTCACAGGCGTCGTTTGTTGTTCTGAGGTATTCTTCGAAATTGAATTGTTTTGTTTGCTCAATGTTAAATTATTGGATGCAGTGTTGTTGTGTGTTTGGAATGTATTGTCAACGTGGTTTGAAGAATTGCAGTTGTAAACAGAATTTAAAGGGATGGTGTTGGGAGACGTTCTTAGTTGGCTGGTTGTTGAAAATTTCGGAGGTTGTAGTTTGCTAGATTGGGGTAATTTTGATGTTTTTGTGGTTACTCTATCTTGTTGCGGCTGTTTCTGTTGGCAAGCCGACTGCTGCTGCTGCAACTGCTGCAACTGCAAATGTGGTTCTGTTGATTCAGATGAATTTTCAAAATTCTGATCTGGATCCTGACTTTTTGAACATAAATTTTGATTTATAATTTTATAGGAAATTCCATCATTAACCCAATTCAAAGTTGATTGACAATTTAATTGTTGTTGATATTGCGGTTGTTGCTGATATTGTTGTTGTAATTGTTGGTGTTGTTGTTGATATTGATGCTGCTGTTGATATTGATGTTGTTGTTGCCACGGAGAATAATGTTGTTGTTGTTTGTAATGACAAATTTTTTCATACGGATCAATACTTTTTACGAAGACAGAATCGTTATCATTTTTAGCAGCACTCAGTTCTGAATCTGTCGTGTGGCAACTGACGCTATCTTCAGAAGAAAACAAATCTGAAGACAAACTGACGGACCTCGATGAATGAACCTCAGAGGAACCGGCCGGGTGTTTATGACTCATTCGTGATTCGTTGGACCTTATCGTCTGCTGGTTGTCGTCTTCATCGAGGTGGTCCTCTTCAAAAATGTTTTTTACATTCAGGTGTTCAATAGACATGGACTGATCTATGCCATGATCTTCCTCTAAAATTGTGTGCATGTATTTATTCGGGGACTTACATATGACTCTGGGTGGAGATTTAATCGCGTACGACTGACCAGAGCTAGAACCATATGTGTCTTTATTTTGAACGACGTTGTGATGAAGGTGTTGGTGCGGACGCATTTCTGGAGATGGCGAGGGAGATTTGCTGTCTGACTTTCTGGAATTGACGCGAATTTCCAACATGCGAATGCCGCAACTCGGACTTGAGAATGGAGAGCGGTGGATGGATGAGGACGAGTAAGGCATGATTGGACTGTCCGACCTCAACGTATCTTGGCTTAATACTGACTCCATTGAGCTGTACACAGTCGGGTACATTTTATGCTCTGCAAGCGCACCATTGTGGTTTGAAGAAATTTTATTTTTTCTACTAGGGAAAGCATTGTTAATTGTTGAATAAACTTGATCGATTGGAAGTTGATGGTTCATTTCAGTTTTTGCAGTAAAAGCCATTAATCTGTTTTCCTTGCTGTTATTACTATTTTTACTGCATGTTTTACGAGTGGGTGGATTCTCTGGAAACATTAAAGTGGCATAACATTTATTGTTCGAATGTAGAGACGTCTTATTGGAATTTAAAACAAGTGGCGATAATTTAACGTTCTGTGCACTTCTTGGGGATTTAAAATTGTTCACGCTATTATTTCTGTTGCAGCTTGTGGGTGAATTTATCTGATAAGACATTTTATCTAACGGCGACAGAGTATTTGAGTTAATAAATTGTTCATTATCGATGTCAATGTCTTCGAATGTGAAAACTCTGTGCGAGTGTGGAGATGAGGAGGACGATGGCATGCCGGACTTTTCCAAGTTGGCCGAACCAGGTTGCGACAGGGAACCGTTCTGATTTCTACCACTCATCCCCAAAAATGTCACCAGTGAAGGCGAATGTTGATTTTCTGGCATGCAGTCAGGGGATTGTTTTGGCAGTAGTAACGGCATCGACGTTATAAATTTACATTCCTTCGAAGAAGACGGTTTCTGCATTTTTTTGGGTTGCCACATTTTTGAGAAAAATGATTTTGAGTTTGATTTTGTTTTAGCAGGAGTAACAGGCGTTGAATCAATGGGCTGACAGGGGACGAGAGGTTCTGGTGACCCGCTGATGGGAACTGGTGGAGCTGAATGTGGTTCTGTCATGTCAAACGTCGATCCCAGCTTGCTCAGTTCCTCTTGTATCTCACCAATGCTTTGGTAAGTATGTTTTGAACACTGGATGCCAATAGGATCCAACTCGTGGTAGATCGGACTGCTTTCATTCTCATCGTAGTCCTCATCTTGCTCTATTTCTTCGGCAACCAAATCATTTTCGAATTTAAACTTCTCTAATTTTTGATAAATTAGTTGAACTTTTGATGATTTTGAACTTAAAACGTCTTTCGCAAATTGCGGTATATGCTTACTGAAACTTTTTAAAGTCTTAGAATTTTGCAAATCCGAACTATGTGATTTATTTTTGTTGCTGTTGTAATTTGCTGATTGCACTTGAGTTTGATGACAAGCAGTTATATTTTGTTGAACTGCGCTGTTAATTCTGAATTTCTTATTGCTATCAAAATTTGTATTTGAAGTCGACAAATCGTTTGCTGACGAATTGACAAAACTTGGTGAATGTTTCGCACTAAAATTTGAACTATTTTTCTTCAACGAATTACTTGATTGAACATCTTTAATCTTACTCTTAAGGGAACTGGATGGCTCAGTTTTGATGCTTTCGCCGAAAGTTGACGAACTCTTGCATTTGTTAGCATTTTTATTTTTATTATTACTATTGTTATTGTTGTTGTTGTTAGTGCCAGCGTGACTTGGTAGCATGGAATCTCTGGAGAGAACAGCTATTTTTTTTCTCTGCGGCATTGGTAGGTGTGACTTTTCCATTTTTATCACTCCTTCCAAACAAACAAATTCAACTCGTAGTGGTTAAATCCGATCCAAATCCTCACCGTTCAAACAACATTCAACAGTAAAATTTCTAAGCCGTGTCAAATTTCATGAATTTAATTAACTTAAATGAAGTCTATTTAGTTCAGCAATTCAAAATTTGCAGCGTTCTTTAAGTTCACACAGAAATGTTTACCAAACTGTTCTACTTTGAATTTTATTTTAAATTAATTTTAAATTTTAGGTAAAATCAATATTGTCAAAATTTTATCATTCGCAACGATATTTATATTTCAAACGTAAGCAAATCAATGAAACAAAGCGTACATCAGACGTAAAAACGAAATCTTTCATAAACGCATTTTCAACTACGGTGAGAATATAACAAACACAAACTATAGAAAAATATGAACGCAACTTCTCATAAAAACGAATTATACTAAAGAAACGAACTACGGGTACAGCACACAGGCCTTATATACTATAACGCTAGGAAGAGTGTAGTGAACTAATCCGTACATATATTCGTGTCAGATGTGTGCCATACAAAGAAATAAATACCTATACACCATGTTCATCATTCATATTGTCATTTATATTTATACATTACACTTTCTCTGTGTGTGTGTGTGTGTGGTGTGTTTGTAGGTGTGTGTTTTTGTGTGTGTGTGTGTGTTTGTGTGTGAGCGTGTGTGTGAGTTTGTTAACAATCGTGTTGAAAAAATGAAACGTGTATCAATTTTCTGACAATGTCTTTGAAAATAATGATTAAAAGAATTTTTTACATTCCAAAAATTTTTTTGATTTTTCTGATACTTATGTACATCCCCTGTTTAAATTTGTCCTATAATTATTACAATTATTAAAGAAATAATTTTTGTGAGGCTGAAGACTAAACGAATCATCAATGTGCTGTAATCATTCAGTGCGTATAATAAATAATTAGATGACTTTTGAGTGAATTAATTATCTAATGATAGATATAACGTGTTGATACATAATTGATACATTGTGTGTGCATGTGTCTGTTTGTGTGTATGTGTTTGTGTGTTTGTTTGTTTGTATGTGTTGAGGGGTAACGATAGTTGTGATAATAACAATGATAATGACGACGACGATAAAGATGTTATGAATGCTGGTAATATTAGCAATAATGATGATTGCATAAAGACGGCAATAGCATAGCAAGCAATGGTGTGATGATAATGACAATGATGATGAAGATGATGATAAGATGATGAAGATGACGTTGTTGATGCAGCTGTCTAACTTGATGAATGAAAAGATGACAGCAGTGGTAATGATGACGTTAATCATGCGCCTATCTAGCCAAGGATTAAGGACGATGAACAGGAAAATGATGAAACTCTTGGTGATGACGGGAGGCTGACGTTGGAGATGATGAAATAAAGGGTTGATAAAAAAGATGATGACGGTGATATGGTGATAATACAGGAAATAAAAGATAAAAAGATGATAACGATGATGACGATGATGAAGAAGATAAAGGAGAAGAAGAAGAATAAAAAGATGACGACCGCGACTACGACGATGATGATGAAGACGATCGATGATGAAGATGATTATGAGACGCACCGCCATTTTTAAAATATGCAAGCTGCGTGTTTCACATCAGGATTATTGCGCTCTTATATGCGTTAAATGATTTTTTGACCACTTTTTCATTCCTTTATTTTATTCTTTCTCTCTTTCTCTCTTTTTCTTTTTTCTCCTCTCTTTCTCTCTTTGTCATTCTCCTCTTTTTTTTATAAGCATAAGAACGCACTGCTAAATTTTATTGATGGTAAGCTGCCATTTATTGAAGCAATTTAATTATACGGCAACATTTAAAAAACACTAAAAATGACGTCATAGTTTTTTATTAGAAAGAGAAAGAGAAAAAGAGAGAGAGAGAGAATAAGAGAATTATTAGAGAAATATAAAAAAGACAAGAGAGAGAGAGAGAGTGAAAGAGAGAGAGAGAAAGAAATTGAGAGAGAGAAAGAAATTGAGAGAAAGAAAAAAAATTGAGAGAGAGAGAGAGAGAGAAAGAGGGTAAGTAGAAGTGAACGAAGATAAAGTAATTTAATGTGACATTATAATCAATGAACGCAAAATGTTGATGGCGTTGTTGTTGTTGTTGGTGTTGTTGTTGTTGATGTCATATTGCTTGCTGTTATTGATGTTGTTGTCTTTATTATTTTTATAGTTTCACCATGTTGACGTTGTGGATGTGTTGTGCATAGATATAAAAATGAAATTACTACTACTACTAATACTACCGCTACAACAACAACTACTACAAATACTACTACTACTATTACCACTACTACTACCAGTACTACTACGACAAAATTGACAACAACATCAACATTCTTACCAAAACTACCAACATTAGTCTTAATGTGGCAACTTACGTAATGCCACATGTGCTATTTGTTTAAGGAACGTTTGATGTCTAACCATGCGACTATTATGACGACAAGTTGCTGATGAGTATGGCTGTTGATGTAGTTGATGACGTTGATGTTGTTGTTTGTTGTTGTTGATGTTGTTATCTGTATTGTTGTTTATATTTTTAGCTGTAAGATGTTAATATTTTTAGTTTTTATATTATTTGTTGAGATGCACTGCATAATACTACAGAGAGAGAGAGAGAGAGAGAGAGAGAGAGAGAGAGAGAGAGAGAGAGAGAGAGAGAGGCTTAATAGATGATAGGTGGTGGTGGCGTGATGTTGATTGCCACGATGACTAATGCGGACTAGAGTTTTTCTTAGTCATTTATATCAGAGGGTGGGGGACATTTTACATCTTTTATTTTTTCATCTGGTTTTGTTCTGTTCTGTTCGTTCACTCATTTATTTATGTTTATTCGTTCGTTCGTTCACTCATTTATGTTCATTCATTCGTTCGTTGTTTCACACTTTTGCTCGTCTAATTCCTATTTCTTTATTTTTATTGCCTAGTCATTTCAAAATAAATTCTTATTTCCATTATTAATTCCGAATAAAAAGCTTCATTTTACTTTAATTTAGAATAAAAATACTTCTATAGGTCGGAAATAACCTACACACTACACACACTCAAACACACGCGCACAAGCGCGCAAACACACCAACATAAACACACACAAACATACACATTTATAACATAGACCTTGCTATCCATCTATACATCATTTTAAATAGCTTCGTTGTCCAGATGAATCCTATAAAAACGATAATCACACTGCTTATATATTGTTCTGCTGTTGCTCAAGTTTTGTGCCCAAGTTTGAATTGACCCAACAAAATATGTTTCAGGTTATTCTGTAAGTTCCAATTCACTTATTTCATGATTTGATGATAACAATGGGCAGATGTGTAGAATGATGATGACGATAATGAACGAAAATGAAGACGAGAGTTTTGTATACATGAATACATGAACAAACAAGAGAGCACAGACACATGCATACACACGCAAACACGTAAACAGACATTCACACACACAGAGAAGCACCTAAACATACGCCCAAGTATAAGTACAAACACGTAGAAGCAACAAGACAAAAACAAATCCTTAACATCAAATTTATTGTATGCCTCTCTCTCTCTCTCTCTCTCTCTCTCTCTCTCTCTCTCTCTCTTCTTTCTCTCTATGTTCTCAAACAAACACACGCACACAAATAGAAACACGCAAATATATACACATGATATATGGCCACTTATTCTCAATGTATTATTTTGTCATATTTTCACTTTCATCACTATCATCATCATCATTATTATTATTGCAATGATAACAATATATATAGTAATACTGACTAATAATAAAAATAATTAGCAATAGTAATAAAAAAAAAATATTAATTAATATTATTATTTGTTTCATTATTTTATTATTCAGTCATAATAAATATTTTCAAAATCATGGTCGATAGCTAAATGCATCACATCGTGAAAAACTTGGACACGCCCTGGCGGTTCCCATAAACTATAAAATTTAGATCTCTAAAAAGCGATATATAAAAAGAGTTATAAATAGTTTATTTTAATAATTTCAAAAATCTGTTACATTCTATGTATGTATGTATGTATGTGTGTGTGTGTGTATGTATGTATGTATGTGTAGATGCATGTGTGTATGTATGTATGTATGTATGTATGTATGTATGTATGTATGTATGTATGTATGTATGCATGTATGTATGTATGTATGTATGTATGTATGTATGTGTACATGAATGTGTGTGTATGTGTTGTGTTTGCGTGTGCCAGCACATGTGTATGTGTGGGTATTTATGAATTTATACGCGTATGTGTGCGTATGTATATGTGTGTGTATATATATATGTTTGTGTATGTCTGTATATGGAGGTGTATGTGATTTTGTATGTATACATGTATGTACCTGTGTTTACGTGTTAGCATTAAAGCAAAAAATTTGTAGGATTAACGTAGGAGCGTTCAGAAATACAAAAAAATAACTACAGAGTACAAATTAATGAGTTTGTCCTCGAACCGAATAAATGGAAGTCATTTGTAACGAAAACAAAAATCTTCCAATCGATAAATGTTTAAATTTTCGGTACTTATGTAAGCACTTTGAACCTATTCATTAGTACTTTAGTGCACTCGTGTAAGTACTGTAAACTTTCTCACTTGTAATTTAGAGTAGTGCTTTAGTGAGTAATTTTACTTAAAGAATGATTGTTAGTGATTTTGATATAAATAATAGAAGCAGGTTTTGATTGAGTTTTTCATCTTTTGCTTTGTTTGAACTGTGGAGGAATAGTAAATTTATTTGATATTTTATCTTTTTTTCTTGTTTTGTAATTTGTATTGTATATTTCTGTCTGTCATGCGTGCAAGAAAGTAATAGAGAAGCTAATAGGCACATGAGGCTTGCTGGTTGTAAGACCGAACAGAAAATTTGAAAGAAAAAAAATTGAAAAAATTTATGAATTTTCAAAATTAATATTCTTTGAAAATTGTGTAGTTAAAAAATATAAAAACTTTTCTTTTAATTGCCAAAAAAACATCATATTATCTCAACAATCAACAAACAACGGAGAAAACATTACAGACAGCAACAAATTAACAAACAAACCCCACAACAAAACCAAAAGAGCACCAGCAAAACAACAACACAAACCAGAGTCAACAAGGTACTAAATATCCAAAAACCGAAACTAATTATTCAACAAAAACGAAACTAAACCAACAGCAAAAACAAAATGCTTCTCTTGGAATAGGAGGAACATCTCATTGAAAGGAGAGTTCTGACATTTTGTCATCTCGTCAGAATACTGTATGTACGTAGCACACATAGTTGCCGTTCTTGGTGTTGTTTAAAAAAACAAAAAAAAAACAAAAAAATCTTGGGGTTTTTTTTTGTTTCTCTCTTGATTTCTTCATAATTTTCACTGTTTTAGTCGCCACTATAATTTGTGTTTTTATAGCTTCTATTGATTATTGATATCACCCTTATTATTTACCCAATACTGATTCATTAATAATTTTTTTCAAACTCATGAATGAATGAGTGAACGAAAAGACGAATGAATGAACAAATATATAGAAGAACAGACAAACGAATTACAAAACGAATTTATAAAAAGGTTAGATACTTCTTTCAATTTTTACCAGTACGAGAACCGATAAATTACCATTCCTACGATTCATAACCAAATTCAAAATCAACAACAATAATAATCATGAAAACAACAACAACAACGACATCAACAACGAAAACAACAACAATACTAATAACAACAATAATACTAATATCAATAATAATAACAATTAAATAATATAACAAGCCTTTCAGATTTTTTAAAATGAGAACGAGCAAACAATATTTTTAAATCTGAGTCCTCTTACAAAATTTGAGAACTTCTTACCAGCATATGCAAAACAACACGTTCTTAAGTTTCTTGTTATAAAATAATGAATGCATATAACTATTTAGTGGGTATTTTTGTATATACTGGCTATTCTTTTGTCGCCTTTTGTTTTTTTAAAATTCGGGTATTGTATTTTTACACGTGATGTGCGTGTATCGTTATGGGTATGTTTGTTCACGCAGTTGTAGGGTATTGTCGTTTGTAGTGTTGCTTATGAAAGTGTGTTTTTGTTACGTATAGAGAGAGAGAGAGAGAGAGAGAGAGAGAGATAGATAGAGAGAGAGAGAGAGAGAGAAAGAAAAACTGAAAGACAGAGAGAGAAAGAAAAACTGAAAGAAAGAGAGAAAATGAAAAAAGACAGAGAAGAGGGAGAGAGAGAGAGAGAGAAAGAGTGTATGTGTATTTGAGTGAATGTTTCATATGTGACTGTGTGTTGGACATTTGTGTGTAACGTTTGCTTATGTCTGTTTGTGTATGTGCGTGCGTGTATGTGTTTGTTGTGTGTGTTAGTATGTGTGGAGTTTGTAAAGTATGTGTGCGCGTGCACTTTAATCCACACACCTTCTGTTACATGCACTCCAACCGCTGGTTAATATTCAATTCTTTCCCGGGGAACTTCTTATTGACATTTTTTAAATCAGCTGTCGATTGCACTTGAATTTGCTCATGATTGCATCTTCTCTGGTCTACCACATATTTTAAAGAACATATTTTTCTGTATATATTTGCGCTAAATTAAAAATGAAATCGATGATTTTTAGAATACAACCAAATTAATATACAAACAAATGAATGAATGAGTGAGAGCAAACAATCGAATGTATAGACAAACAAACGGATGAACAGACAAACGAATAAACAAACGGATGAATGAACAATCAAATGAACGACAAAACGAGCGAACGAAGGATGAACAATTAAATGAACCAAGCAGCAGCTGTTGACACCTGCAGACTAAACTATCTCACCTGTACCTTCGTAACTGTCAAGTCATGTCACAGACTCTTGCTTCAGTGTGCATGTGCATGAGTCTAACATGACCGACTTTTACGTTTTTGTCTGACTGAGTCTACAAATAGCATCAAGTCTTTCTATGTATGCGTAAGTCTAGTAAAGTTGCCTACGCAAACACACGCACACGTACAAGAATATACTTAATTAATCATAATAATACACACCACACACACACACAAACACACACACACAAGCACACGTACACACACATACTCATATGTACAAGTAGCATACACACACGTACAAACTTAATCGTCATAATAACTAGCATACCTGGAATAAAAATGAAGAAATGAAGAAAGGTGAATGTAGAGGAACTCACAATTTGAATACAATCGAATTTAGACCCTGGTTCTGCTGAGAAAATTGAGATAGATTTAGGATCACACTTTTTATTCAAACATACATATGTAGTTGTGGATTTGTAATGCACAATTTTTATGTGTAATCATACAATATTGATAGCAAGCAGTGTGCGATTATCTTATCAAAAATTGTATGTTACATATTAGCAAATGAATAGATGCGTGTTAGAATTAAGATTATTAATTTAGCATTTTCAACGAAAAAGTATGCAAGGATAAAATACAAATGATTCAATTTTGATATTTCAGAAGGGAACAAATATTGAAGAAATGTAATATACAGCTGATATAAAATGGACATATGTATATCGAATATAACATATTATATTATAACATATTTTATGTTATATTCTATATATATTAATACAAATAAGTCATATATATAATATAATATATAATATAATATTCTATATATATGAATATGAATAAGTCTTCGAATCTGCATAGATATCGAAGTTGATAAAATATTTTTTTATTAACTTTCTTTTGTTGTGTTTTGTGGCATGGTGTTGCGATATATCGCGAGAGTTCAAGAAATATATGTTGAAAGTTTAACTTTTTAAACTAAAAAATACATTTTTGAATCGTAAAATCCTCTAAAAGAAACAATATGGTTAGATTTAATTGTTTTTATCGTTAAACAAAGTTAATGTTAGGATTAGCTGGCTATGTTGGGTACAAACTACCAAGACACCACAGATAAAGATTTGTTAGTTAGATTCATAGAACATTAGTGATTAGAATCAATATTAGATTATATTATTATTATTTAATATAGTTAGGTTAGAGATTGGTCATTAGTGTTAAATGTCAGTCATTACTGAGAAGATAGATTAACATAGCGGTTACTAGAAGTTAGTTGGATTAGGATTTTAGATTATTGTTTATTTTTAAATTTTTTATTTTTTTATCTAGTTAATTAGTTTTTAATTTATTAGATTAGGATGTTAGATTAGAGAGTTGGTAATCAATGTTCGTGTTTATGTTTTAAAATATGTACGTGTGTTATTTTTTATTAATCCCCACAAAAATCAACATAAAAAATTTTAATTCAAATTCATCTGAAATCCTAGCCACAAAACGAGTACATCGAACTGCACCGAAAGAGACATGGCCGTAGGCTGGATTATGAAGAAAGAAAGTTAGTCGACATTTTTTTCTATCTGTTGAAGAATTACATGAAAAATTAATAATTGCGCCATAAAATGTGACACAAATGAAGTGGTCTATATAAATTATCTAATTTGTATGTCGAATATGTGTGTGTTTGCGTGTATGTATATGTGTGTGTGTGTGTGACTTTGTGTTTATGTATGTACGTATCTATTACATAAATTTTTTTTTAATTTTTAGGCGTAAGAAGGAAAGCAGAAAAGCCCAAGAAGACTCCAGGAAGGCCAAAAAACTTAGAGGAATAAAGTTTGTTTTTGTCCGTTATTTTCATAAATTTTCTATTTTACTCTTTGTTGTCATCAATTCACAATTTTATATTGTTTTATATTAATTTATTTTTTCATCATTGATTGTTTGTTTTGGATTAAATAAATCTTTCAATTTAAAAAAAATTTTTTTTTCAATTTTCTTACGCAGGGCAAAACTATATAACAAGAAGAGACATTTAGAAAAAATACAGATGAAAAAAACGTTCGTTAATTATTACTATTTATTATAAAAATTAACCCAAACCATAAAATAATATTTATATAATTAAAAGTATAAAAATGCACGAGGAGAGGGACACGAAACAAAAGGCACCCCAAGATGTTCCAGACGGTGCCCAAACTTACTTCTTACTCGACAGAGAGATGCAGAATAGAGCGAAGGTTCTTTCCAACACCATCAAGGAAAAGAGAAAAGAAAAGGCTGTATGTATCTTGTGAATGTTGTTCAAAATTGAAATCATTCTAAACTGAAAATTGAATATTGATCTAATTTGAAAGTATATCTTAAGAATATCTATTTAAATTAAAAAGCTCTATGTATATTGTGAGTATGGTATACTAAATCTTCATATTGCACATTAAAAATTATAATATTTTTAGTAGAAATAACATTTTTTATAAACGAAATTTTAAACGATTTAACAAATAAAAAATTAAATAATTTTTGATTCTAGGGTAAATGGGAAGTCCCACTGCCTAGAGTTAGTGCAGTTAGTGAAGCTGACATGTTTAGAGTCGTCAAAACCGGAAAAACCAGAAGTTTGCTGATGCTTTTTGATTGATTTGATTTTCTTAAATATTTAAATTAATATAATGAAAATCATTTTATTGCAATTTATAATTATCTTATTTAAATTAATATTTCTAAAATGATTATGAAAACAATTTCTAACAATGAAATTTAGGAAAGGCCTGGAAGCGCCTTATAACAAAAGTTTGTTTTGTCGGGGAAGGATTTACCAGAAAACCACCAAAGTTTGAAAGATTCATCAGACCGACGGTTTGTGTTTTGTATGCTTTTGTATATTTGTTTTTGTATGTTTTTTGTATATCTATGTTTTGTATACTTTTGTATATCTATGTTTTTTGTTTTTGTTCATGAATTTGTATATATATATATGTTTAGGATTTTGTATAGCTATGATTGTATGCTTGGGTATTTTGTACATTTTTGCATATTTATGTTTGTATGTTTCAATTGTATGTTTTTGTTTGTATATGTTTTACTTAACACACACCGATCATCCAGGGCTTGAGACAGACAAAGGCTCATGTGACCCACCCTGAATTGAAGGCCACCTTCTGCCTGCCCATCATCGGTGTCAAGAAGAACCCGACAGCACCTCTCTACACACAACTCGGTGTTATCACGAAAGGAACCATTCTCGAGGTACTTCCTTCATTTTCCTCTTCCATTTTTCTTGGTTCTTCTTAACTATTTCTTCGCAAATTAATCACCAAACCAAAGATTATTATACTGAAGTTAGTTAAATTTTTTAATATAAACATAATTCTCAAAAAATGGAATCTAAGTTCTTAATGATTTTATTTAATCTTCGCTAGGTTAACGTCAGTGATCTTGGATTGATAACAACTGGAGGAAAAGTTGTTTGGGGTTGGTTACTTCTTGCTGATGGATCATTTTTCGTTGTTACCCAGCTCTATAACTGCCTGCTAGCGTTTTATTGCATACTGCCATAAAGTTATTTCTGAGATACTCATTTAATTGCTTTTTGTCTTAAATTTATGAGCTCTTTTTCATTCATGTTGTGTGTTGTGCATTAATGCATACCTGTGCATTTTAAGGTGACGTCTGTGAGAAGAATTCATTCACCATCCTTTTATTATTCTTTTGTTAACCAACGGGTCCTACGTAACAAACATATATTTCCAATTTTTAACGTTGGCAAGTTGATAGAAAAAGTTTTGCGTAGCCACTCATTAAAAAGTTGCACACGACGTAATGAAATTTTTGATCAATTTTTATTTGCTATTTTTTGGAACAGTCAAAATTCAGTTTCTAAGAAAAATATTTTTTTTGGACTAACAATATTTCCTGAACCATTAAGTCAGAAAAATTGTTTTCAAGTTCAAATAGCAACAACTCATTTCAAAAGTTTTTTTACAGTCTTCCGTTTTTACAAATTACTTCTATGTTTTTTTTCCAAACATGTGTTTTGTGGAGTTTGGGCGTTATTTCTCTTTCATTTTAAACGACCAACATGCACATCAAGACAGTGAAATTCATTCAGATATATTTATTTTTCAATTTGATATACTATTTTTTTATCATTTCTGATGTTAGCAATGCATTGGGCTATCTCTGGTTTTAGGAGTTTCGAACATGGATATATCCATGGTTTCGAAGCGTAATAATGACGTATTGTCGCTAATGCAGAATCTTTTAAAATTATGTGGAATAAATTATAATAAGCATCCAGCGCGTCATTTTGGTATGGATCAGGATCATGTGTTTTTAGCAGCTGCCACCATTCTTTTTTCGCGTACATCTTTTGAATATTTTATGTGTGGAAATTTTTGTCTCCATTTTTTAATTTGAAACTTATTAACTTGCGGAAGCCTATGCAGACGTGCTTATTCTGTATATAATCCTTTATGAATATTCATGAATAATTTTTTAAATGTTTCCATCCAATCACAGGCAAGTACGCTCAGGTGACGAACAATCCTGAGAATGATGGCTGCATCAACGCAGTTCTCCTCGTTTGATGTCCCAACAGATTCCCATCATGTCTTTTCTGTAAAATTGTAATCGTTCACTCAGAAACTGATTTTTTTTGTCGATTTGAAGAAAAAAATTAAAATAAATTTGTTTGTTGCTTTGTTATTGTTTCTGTCGTTCGCCTTTGAAAATTCTTTCAATAGCCTAATTTGTCAGTGTTAATTTCAAATGACGGATGACTTGGCTTCGTGTTTGTTTTTTTCCAGACTACCTCTCACTTCATTTGGTGGCTGGTTAGTTTACTCTATGCAGCGTGGCGTGGTGTGGTGTGATGTGGTTGCTACTTCGCACTTAAACGGATTTTGGTTATTTGCGTCGCTATTTCTATTTAGAAATATCTTTCCGTTTTTAAACTTACCACGCGTTGTTCGGTCCAGTGTGTGATTTATAAATAAATTTATAACGCTCATCCGTTCGTTTCGCGTTATAAATTTTTTATTTTAATTTTAGTAACAAAAGAAATTTATGACATTTTAAGTGTTTTCTTGTGTTTATTAGACAATGGTTTGATGTTTTTCCTCTTGTAAGAACAAATATTTTTGATAATTTGATCAATTGTAATTAAAACAAGACAAAAATTTCGATTTTTTTTGGGGAGAAAAAACTGCTACATGTCTTTACAAGTCAATTTGATCGCACATAGTAGGTAATTTGAATGATACATGAATAAGATTTGAAATATTCAGTGCCTTTGAATGAAACTGTCTGAAGAAGCAGATTAAGATTCATCTCGAAAGATCAAATGAACGCTCACGGACCTCTGCAAAAAAATAGAATTACAAAAAAACTCCAAAGAGCTGTAAAATGGTCCTCCGCCCCACGTACGGTGTTCTTCAGATGTGACATGCCGTCAGAGATACTTGACTGTCACCGAGACGATGAAACGTGATAGATGAAAGGTCGCATTTGAGACTTTTTTTTAACTTCAGTCGTTTGAAATTCACAATTTTTTTATATTTTCAAGATTTTAAATAAAAAGTGTTTTAGATTTTTTCTTAATAGATAGTTGTTGTGTAGTAATTTAATTTTAATAGTTGTAGCAGCAGAAGCAACAGTAACAGCAGTAATAGAAGCAGCAGCAGTTTGTAGTAGTAGTAGTAATAGTAGTAGTAGTAGTAGTAGTAGTAGAAGTAGTAGTAGTAGTAGTAGTAGTAGAAGTAGAGGTAAAGATGAAATTAACTCTTAACAATGTATTTCTCGAAGGGGTTCGTGCGAGATGACTGGAATTATCGGCATCATTATCATCATCATCATCATCGTCGTAGTATCGTCATCATCATCGTTATCATCATTGTAATCATCATCCTAGTAGCTAATATTACCATTGTGAAAAATGTTCGGAAAAATAATTAAAAAATGATATTTTATATTAGAGAATAGTTGATTTCTTTTTTAAAGATATGATTTTTTGGATAAATAACAAAACAAACATTAACAAAGACAGCATTAAAAATAATAATGATTTAATAATAACGAAGAGATGAATAATAATTTGTAATAGAAATCTCTGAGGCAGAGTTGGAGCGCAATTATACAACATCAACCCTTCCTCTTAGACGCACTCACTGAGCCATCACGCTTTAATAACTTTACGACGCCATTTAAAGATCTTCCCAGACTCATTATAACATGGTATTAAATTTTCTTCATTGTAATATCATTCCCATCTACACAAATTGTACACACCCTCACAAAACACTCACACAATCGAACACACACATGCCCACACACACACCACACACACACACACATACACATCGTCGAACACACACATACCCACACACACACACCACACACACAATTGCAAACCGAAGTAACCGCAACTCATCCGCGGTTACTGATAACTAATTTCTTTTTTGTGCTGTGCGGATATTGCTGGTGCAGTTTTCAGCAGATTCGTTCTCAGATATCTATTTTTAAAACCAACCACGAAATTAAATTTGCAAAATTAATGACAAAATTTCTTATTTTTTAATTTTCTCTAAAATTTAATCATCTTTCCTTGGACAGAATTAGCAGAATTAGAAAATCTTTAAGAAAAAAATGCAATTAGGATTTGCTATAAATATCAATTCTTTATAACGTTTTAGTTATCAAATGTAGTGTAGATATTCAAACACTTTGTTGCACGCCTCACTCTCTGCTTATATATATATATATATATATATATATATATATATATATATATATATATATAGGCGCTATATAAATGATCATATAATAATAATAATAATAAATATATATATATATATTGTGTTATACGTACGTAATATGACTGCGATTGCTTTTTAAGACTTAATATAAGAACAAGAAAATTTGAACTACAGAATTAGACGCATGTCGTTGTTCGACGCTGTGGGTTCATTGGGATGTCATTGATTTGTTTGCTATAGTAAGTACCAAAAATACTGAAAGTAATACTAAAAGTTATACTAAAATAATAATAAATGTTATACTAAAAATAGTAATAAATATAGTTGCTAATAAAATTAATTATTGGTTTGGTATGACAAAAAGTTCTTGTACGTATTGTTAATAATGTATAAAAATTTTGTGCGCGTTGTATGTGTAAAAACAACTTGAAAGTTTATTCTTCCTTGAAATTTGTTGTAATTCTTAATAATAATAAAAGGTTGCGAATTGAATTTTTAAAGCATACAACATTAACAAAATTGCTGGAACGATGACATTACGACGGCATTAATAAATTTATATAATGTTACTGAATGTGTGTTTCGTAGTTACTGATTCCAAATGCACTTTATCTCGTAACATCATTACAAAGTTATCGTTGCACCCATTACATTCAGCAATGGCTCTACTTACCAGACTTATGTCAAGTTAAAAACTTGGAAAAGGTTTGTAAGTCCTTCATTTTAAAATAAGTTTTATTATTTCCATTATAATACGGGTTGGCTTTTGTTTTTGATATATTTTTTGGTCAAGTTTTTAGTTTTGAAAAAATGTTTTTGATAATGTTTTTTGAAGAATTCATAAATTTTCATTCACGATGATATAATGAAAGTAATTTATTTTACTTACTTGGATTACACTTTAAAAAAAATCATGAAAGATTTAAGTCTGAGTTTAAAAAGCACTCGTGGAAATTTTTAAATTTTCAAAAAAATATTTTTTGTAAGTAAATCTTTTTTCCATTTTAATAATATTCAAACAACAAAAATCTTAAAACCTTTTTAAGCAAGCGACTTCTTGATGGAATTTTGGCAAAATTTTCAACTAATTTTTTTTCCTATTATTTCAAACCAATGGGGAATAATTTTCGATTTGCAACAATTTCATAAAAGATTTTCAATTATTTTTCAAACTTTCAAAAACAAAAATTTAGTAGCCAGTCTTTCTACTAATCAATCTTCATGAAAATTTATTAATTTTCTATTTACTCAGACTTTTAATATTCCGTTATAATTTTTTTCTCTACCAATTAGCAATTTATTATTATGACTTATTAATTTCCTTAAGCATGATCATTAAAAATTATTTTGAGATAGGGCAGAGATAGAGATTGTAGGCTTGAACCTTCTAGAATAGTCGCCAAATTTCACTAGTTTTTGGTTGGGATAAATATTAAGAAAATTATTAGGAATGCTAATAAGCATTCTAACAAGTTTTACTTGAAATATTCTACAAATTAAAGACCATTCCTAACTAAAATCTATGGCAATAGAGGGATGATCCCGATATTAAAAGTTACAACATTAAATAGTCTCTATACTTCAACTACAAACTATCTGTTCGCATCAGTTTTTATACTTCATTTCGTATAAATGACAGAATGAGTGAAAATTTATTTTTCTAGTGACATTTACAGCGAAACATCTATAACCACAATTAAATAACCAGCTAAGACAACAACAAAAAGACGAGACGAAATTGGAAACAAATACTTTTTTTTCATATTTTTTTTCACTAGCACGTACGAGCGTTTGGAGCTATAATAATTTATCTCGCACATGAGCGTGTATACGTCACTTGCCTCGCTTCAACACGGAGAACATCTTGTTTACTGAATTTCGTACAACTACAAACATTCTTAAAACACATGTTTGCAGACAATTAGTTAGTTATTCATGCCTTGAGAAAAGTAATTTTATACGTTTTTTTCATATAACTCTCGTGGCGGTTTCAGGCCATATAAATTATCCATGAATTCATTTGACCAGGTACTTTGTCGCGTTTTTATACGTGTTGGAATTTAAGTTTTTGTGATGCAATCACGCCAATACGAATTTTTTTTATTATAAACAAACCCATTAATGTGCAGATGTGTGAGTTAACATTTACTTAGACTCAAATGAATTAACATTTTGCAGCAGGCATTAACTTGAAGTATACCACTTTGATGTTTATGCCATTCATCAACATTTTTATAAAAGACACTAAACCGTGTTTCAGAAAATTACACACACACACACACACCACACATTCACGTACACAAACACACACACAGACACACACAGAAAAAATCAGCCCGAAAGTTTCATTCATGCGTTCATAAGATACCATGTCCTCCTAAACCAGCTATCCTGTCTGCACATTTTAACGAGTAGCTCGTAAGGATGAAAAATTTTAGAAAAAATGTTTTTATATTCTGCCTTGTGATGTTGTAAACATTGTAGTAACTTGCTGCAGGTCCGTTTTTTTGCTGAAATAACGTTTTTACGAAGTATTTTTATTATTTATTTGTCAGTTTTTTTTAATTTTATCAATTACTTATTCAATTTTTTTAACCAATGAAAAGATATTCAAGTGCTTTTATGAAATTTGAGTAGTTAAAATGCTGTTTAATTTTGAAGAAATAAAAATTTTCTAAACGTTAGGAGGAATTTTTTTTATAAATTTTTTTAAATTTAAACAGAAAATTTTTGCCTAATTAAAAATTTCGTAAAACTTCGCCAACAAAAATCTTTTAAAATTTTTTAAAAATGAAAATTCATAAAGCTAATAAATCATAAATTTTTTTTATTCACAAGGAAAATCAATTTACTCTGAAAATGTAAAAACTTCGGTGATTTTGTCTACCATGCTGGTTTTAAAAATTTACATCCAAATGCAATATAACAAGTTTTTAATACAATC